ATTATTATTATTATTATTATTATTATTATTATTATTATTATTATTATTAATACTATCATCACTATTATTATTAATACTATTACCGCTATTAATATTATTATAATTGTTTGCTGAATATTGTATCCGACTTGTGGAAAGAGGTAAGGCTAGTTTTGGCACCTGAACTCAAAATAACTCATCTTTCTATCTTCCATATGATCCGAGACGGTGACTGTAGGGCACAAGAAAGTTGCCAAGCTCTTCTAAGTCCCATTAATTTTTGAAGCAAATGTGTGTTTTTCAAATCGACTTAAATTTAACACAATCCATTTGGCCAGATGTTATGTCCCTCTCGCTAAATGCCAAGTCTTTCTTGGCCAGCTGCAAAAGTTCGCGAGAAAACTTGAATTATTTACATTTTCTTCTTCCCAAATGGATGATTTTTAGCTCCTTCGCAAGCAGTAAGGGAAGAGAGGAGCTCTTTCATTGGGGGGCCAAATGCTATCGATCCAATAATTGCATACAGAATTACGATTTTTGTTTGTTCTCTAAATTCTAAGATTCTATCTTACTCCCTAACACTCAGTCTCTGTTATTACCTCAATTTTCCAAAGCCCTATTTCGTTAGTGTTGCCGATTTCATCCCTTCTTTTCCTTTCATCCCTTCTTTTCCTCTCACAGTAATAATCCATGAGGAAGAGCAAAAATATCGATACTGTTTCCATGGAAATAAGAGGAAGATTTACCGATTGAAAAGATACCGTGCACAGTTGCGTTTGGATATGTAGGCAAATTTCTTCCTCAACAGCAGCAGCGGCAAAGAATAGAGAGAAAGAAGATGTAATTATTGGCAACTTGTATCTTGAGCGCGTTGAAATTCAGCAGGAAAGACGTGAAGATGCATATGAATGTTTAAGTTGAGTCGGTTTTAACTTATCACTCCGTGAGGTGAAAGTACTCTGGAAGCAGCCCAACTAGTCGCAAATGCCACAAAAGCAGCCATTCATTGGCAAAAAAAGACATCGATAATGCCCTATTTCGAAAATTCCTTCCAAAGCAAGCTGATGGCGGTCTGACACCCCTCTCCCTCCTCCCCAATATATGTAGTTACAATTTACTATCGAAACGAATGAACGAATCGTAGAGAAAACGGTTGTCACAATTCCCAGAGAGCATAAAATTTTGCCTACTATTTTGCAAATTACATTGTTTTTTTTTCCCCCTTGTATTTCAGATTTGCACTTGCCGTTTCAATAATATTATATCTATGTGCAATGTCATCACTGCTATTTCTGTTCGAGTTAATCAAGCCAACATTTACCTGATTTGGAGTGTAGCTGGGCCAAATCGAATCTAAAAATGCAGTAAGGAAAAAACTTGGTTGATTTCGCCCCCTCACCGGCCTTGCATATCCACATCGGCCATCGGATGGCGGTGCCGGATCGGTCAATATCCAATCCGCATTCTGCATCACTTCCCACAGATAGGCATGCCGTTTGATGTTTTGTGGTGTACCAACATAATTGCGTTTCCTCCTGCAACACTATCACATTTCTGCTAGCCCAGCCGATTGATCGGCTTCAATTTGTTACCAGACTTTCAGAAGCCCAACGTTAAACAGGAGGGTCTGAAAATTGATTTCAAGTCTGTGATTGCGGTTTAGATCAGTATCCTGAAAATTTCAGCTTCCCAGCTTAGGTGATTTCTGAATTGAACTATCCGGAGCAACTACTTGCACCCAGCTTTTCTGATCCAGAGAATTCGACTGGACGATTGCCGGAGGCGATTATTTTTAATTACTGTTCAGATTATTGCTCATATTTGTATAAGTGCCTATTTGTCGCCACAGGTTTTCAAAACGAAAACTTTTTCTATCACAAAATGACGGAATTTATGAGTCAAATTCCTTGACTCCCACAAAATTCTTCTCTGCTTTGAGAACCAGGGAAACAATTTTGGGAATTAGTTTACTGCAAATTCGGAATTCCAAATTTTGCATTTCATTTATTTTGTATGAAATTATATTTTCACTTTCTGCATTTGTAGCAATAATTTGTATTTGGTCACTGTACTTTCCGAAATGTCAGCTGTATTTTTTCATTACTTTTCTGATTTAAAATTAACGACATTTTTTACGTTTAAACGGGTATTATCCACGCAATAATATGGATAATCACTATCGCCAATCATCTTTCTAACAGTGTTTAATAAAAAATAAATTAGAAATTAATTTGTTGAGCAACGTATGCTTAGTGGAGAAACTGGCAGCTGGGGGCATGTAGCAAGGAGAAGAGGGGCGAAACAAACAACAGCTGAATGGTAGCATAATGTGTGAACTGCCAGTACGAAGGAGCCGATTTACCGAATCGAACATTAGGGAGTGATGCAAATCCAGAAAGCACAAAGCCGAGCTGCAAATTTGTAATTCAGGTACTCCAGGCAATATGCTAGATTGTGTGCAGTGTTAAAAAGGAAGTCTTTTACTGAACAGCCTTAGGATTATCCGAAAACGTCATTCGGCAAGCTCCTCACCTAAAAATATTTGCAAAACTAGCTCTTTCTGACTTCTTGGCATAATGCCAATGCCAAATGATGTCGCGAGAAAAAAAATCTGCTCACGAGAGGCGCCATTCTTCAAGCTCATCCATATGTTCATCGAACGTTGCCACCGTCTTTGTTGTGATTTCTTCCAGCCATGGAAGGATGGCTGAATTATGCAACCATATTGGTGAGGATAAGCTAACATAGGACGCTGTTAGCAATTTTATTCCTTCACTTTCTCTGGAAAAATGCATAATGTTACTTTATGGGCATGTTTCGCCTGGAGATAAATTCCATGAGTCTCGGTATTAAGAGAAGAACAGTGTGATAAACAACACGCAGCGCATTTATCTCAAAATCACTACAACAGCCCAAAGAAGTGCATTTGTCTGAAAAACGACTGAGCTGGCAAGCAGATTGCAGTTTCCAGATTAACCCTGGAAGTGCCGATGGCAGGGTGTGAAGGAGTTAGCAGAAAGTAGCAGTGTAGATTAAGGAAAGTGGTAAGCTGACTGTAGCATACAAGTAATATTAAGAACTTAAATAGGGCAAGAATAGAACGAACTATGTATTAATGGATGTAGAAATATAGCTGGTCTAGGAAAGACAAGAACGAAAGAGTTAAGACGTTTCGGTCCATTAAGTCATATACGTCTTAGCTTTATCAGGAGACGTAACAAATGTCAGGGTCCCCAAAAGATTGATCGCTAAGCAAAAAAAAAAGAAGGAAGCACCTTTCATGCGCAAGTGAATTCATAAATTTATTG